CACCACGCTTCATCGTCCCCTCGATATGAGAATGGGAGCGCTTAAACAACGTTCAGGAGATGGAAATGATCACCTTACTTGATCTTTCAGGCTAAGGATTTATATATTTCAGCCTTTGCTACTAGGTACACCGTCGTTTTTGTACTTCTTCCCACGATCATTCCGTCGACCCCTGATGACTACATGCCGAATAACATGTTCCCTCCCTTCGTAGTCACCTCAATATGGATGGAAACGATCAACTTACTTTGTACAGTACAATCTTTCAGAACAAGGACTTATATCTATTCAGCTTTATCTACTAGATACAGCATCGATTTTATGATTCTTCCCATGACCGTCCCGTCGATCTCTGATGACTACATATGTAGTAACAAGGGACCTCCCTTCGTCGTCACCTCGACACAAGAACGGGAGTGCTTATACAGTATCCAGGGGATGGAACTGGTCACCTCACTTCGTACAGTGTGATCCTTCAGAACCACAGTTTTACAGATATTCAGCCTTATCTATTGGATACAGCTTCGACTTCCCACTAACCGGTTATGTGATGCATCAGCGATCATATTTCGTCTACATGGCGTTTGGCATCAGTTCGCAGACACATTTTTCCACTTATAGTCACAGCATGACACGATCGGAGACCCCCTGCTCATGACCTTTTAACTTTACAGTCTTGTAGACACCCGCTTAGGATGGTGCATGGTGGAATCAAATGTCTTTGATGGCGCCTCATTGACTGTGCTACATCCCGTGCTCCACCTGTTCGTCGATGCATCCAAACAGCTTGGGAGCTCACCTGGCAACTCAGATGGTCTCAGGGCTGTGGTCTGGAGAGCAACACTACTGGCACAGCAACAAGGCCTTGAGCTAAAGGCTCTTATTCTGGTCGTCTCACAGAGCATTCTATGTCACGCCCAGTTGATCATCTCCACGGACAACATCATGGTGGTGTCTCCGATATCAGGGTACTCTCGAATCTCCATCCCTGGTAATGCAGACCTTCTGCCTTTTCTACCTCGTGGACAGGCTTGACCTGCAACTTATCGTTCAGCACATACCAGGTTGCAAGAACGTTCTGGCAGACGCTCTGTCCAGGCCGGACAAGGTGCCTCTCATCTAGTGGCAGCTCCACCCAGACGTGTTCAGCACGATCTGCCAAACGATGGACTCCCCCTACATTGATCTGTTTGATACTCTTCAGAACTGCCAACTGACATCTTGCATCTCACCGGTTCCGGATCCGTAAGCAGTGGCAGTCGATGCCCTCAGTGTCCCAAGGGAAGGACTAAGGACTTCAAAAGATCCAGGTCACCTAGAACCTGACACTGATTTTGGTCTCAGCGAGAAGTTGGTTTGTCAGTCGCCGAGACCTCGCCAGTGACAACCCCTAGAAGTTCCGGTGTGGCTCAACCTCCTGTTACACCCACACACCAGGTTACCACACCCTAATCCCACCAGGTTTCGTCTACACACCTGGTGCATCAGCAGCAAGGCTTAGGGGCCAAGGAGTACTCGGCTAGAGTGTCCAAGGCTATTGCATTAGCACATCATATTTCTACACAGGGACTATATAACGACAAGTGGTACTCCTTCCAGTCCTTTTGCTGAGACAAAGACCAGGCTCCAATGACTGCATCACCCCAGTTCTTGGCTGAGTGGGGCAGTCAGGTAGCCTAGTGGTTAAAGCGTTCGCTCGTCACGTCGAAGACCCGAACTCGATTCCCGACATGGGTACATTTCTGGTGTCCCCTGCCGTCATATTGCTGGAATATTGCTAAAAGAGGTGTAAAACCATACTCACTCACTCACTCTTGGCTGAGTTTCTCCTTTATCTGCACACCAAACGTCAGTTGAAGGGTTTTACCATCTCCACGTATCTGGTTGCCATTAATTCTGTTCTTGCCTTTCTGGATGATCGGAAAATGAAAAAAATCCAGGCTTTGCTGCACTCATTTCATCTCAAAGACCAGAAAGCCAAATGTAGACCGCTGGCTTGGGACCTGAACTGGATTTTAAGGGCTCTTCCAGCAGCTCCCTTCATACCACTTCATTCGTCTTCCATCTACAACCTTACCAAGAAAACGATGTTCCTTCTGGCTTTGGCTCTGCAGCACGGGTCAGCAAGCTTCATGACCTTGACGTTCCCGTGTCCGGTTTGAACGCAGTACCCGTGGAGCCGTTCATCTCAGGCTGTGCTGGGACTTCTTTGCCAAGAATCAACTCCCAGGACAGCCAGCAGATCCTTCACCTTCCAGCCCCTCTCTTGTCCGGTGCGTGCACACATCGGCTAGGCACGTCGGTTCTAGTTCTTTAACTTCAACAAATGGAATGGTCGCTCAATGCCGGACATCGCTGTTCCTGATTGGCTGGTGCCTATGGAGAGTTTATTGTAGATCACATCTGAAGGTATGCCCACCTGCCTTACTGTCTGATAAAGATGCATTAAGGAGTAATGTAGGATAATTGAATTTTTTTTGTAAAATCTAAATATTTTTACATTTGTATATGTATCCTGCATTACTGTGTCTAAAGTGCCCTCTCTTCATTGTGCTACCTCCTCATGAAGTTTCAGATGTTATGTTTGAAGCAGTAATGTAACATCGCTTCCGGGTCATGTGCCAACTGTGTGAGGGTACTGCTAGTCAACTGGTTGGAACATCTTTTCTTCAGCAGCTGGACCTCTCAGAGTTTGTCTTTTTGTAAAAAAACAGCAGTAAATGTACATAAGAGTAATGCAGGATAAGTATACAAATGTAAAAGATATTTAGATTTTATTAATTTTGTTCATATCATGAACATTTTGTTGATATTATTTTGTTAAGAATTCACCAATTCCAAATATTTTATTATCAAGAACCTCAAGACTTACAAAGTTGAACCTCTTTGTGCATGATCATAGCCATAAGAAGATTCTGAGAATGTTTTATCCCAAATTTACAGAAACTCTCATTAATGTTTGTCTATCAGAAGGATGAGAGGGTTAAGTCAATGAAATAAATGAGTTATTCTTACTAGAAATAAAATTTGTTGTGAAATTGTATAATATGTATTGTTGAGAAGTATTTAATTGTATCATATTTGTCAATTAGTTCCCATTATACCTATGCAGGTATCTTTGGATAGCTTTTGTTTAGTGACTTCCTATGTTGACATTGTAAACTGTTCACTGCACATGCATGTGAGCTTCACTACTGTGTTTCACTACAAATGAATGAGAACATGTTAGTTCTTCCTGTAGATCCTTACTGTAACAACACCATGATATAACTGAAATACTGTTCAAAGTGGTGTTAGACCCAACTCACTCTCTCACCTACTGGTACCAGAGATTTGTTGATAGATTTGTCTTAGTGTACAGAATGTAATTTGAAGGGTTTAAAACCTCCTTATAAATTAAACTTATGTGCTCTTAACTCTTCATGCAGTGACTTTTGGACAGTATCAAAAAGGACATATTTTAATCAAATCTGAAATACAATGCTGGTTTGCTATGAAGCTGAAGAGCACATGATATTTGGCAGTTTACAACATGCAAAAACATGGTTCTTCCATACAGATTCTAGGTAACAGTATCGACAGTCAACTCTGACTTTCTTTCAAATTAAAGAGAATCTGACCAATCCTGGTGGTGACCAGACAGGAATATGGATTATCAGAAACAGGAAACATCATTTCCTGAAGTTTTCACTTGAGATAAATTTGAGGTAGAAGTATATTTATAATAAAAAGTATGAACATTACGCTGTCCACATATTTTGCTGACGGTATTTGTTAAGTTTTTATCTCTATATATAGCGATCAGCCAGTCTGTCTGTCCGTCCGTCTGTAATCATTTCCTTTTCCGGGGCAGAACTCGAAAACCATTCAGTGTATTTGATCAAAACTTGGCAGATCTATCAGTCACATACTGAAGTTGTGCCTTTTGCTATTTAGGAATTTTATAAATTTTTATTTTTTATGTTTCCATGGCAACAAGTTGGACTTAGGTTCTATAAGGGTGGTGTTCGTTTCTGGAACGTAACTCAAAAACCATTAAATACTTTCTTACAAAATTTTGCATGTCTACCTGGCACATACTGAACTGGTGCCTTTTGCTATTTAGGAATTTTTATTTTTTTTATTTTTTAAGTTTCCATGGCAACAAGTTGGACTTAGGTTCTATAGGGTAGAGTTCGTTTCCGGAGCATGTCTACCAGGCACATACTGAACTGGTGCCTTTTGCTATTTAGGAATTTTATAAACAATTTTTTTTTACATTTCCATGGCAACAAGTTGTATTTAAGTTTTAATATAGGGTGGGTTCACTTATGGAGTATAACAAATAAACTGTTAAATATTTCCTTGCCAAACAGTGCATGTCTATATATAAAGCACATACTGAACTCGTGCCATTTGATATTAAGAAGTTTTAGAAATGTTTATTTTAGAATTTCCATTGCAGCTTTTTTGACATGGGCTAAGAGAAATGTTGGGTCAGTTACCTGGTTTGGGACCATAACATGTTAAAATGGGTGGGAGATAAAGATGACTTCGTTGACTATACGCTTGTTTAGTTATTGTTTAGTTATTGTTTCTTGTAATTTGTCATTTGTTTGCATATAAATACCCCACAGAAACACACTTGTTTTACTTTCCATTTCATATGGATGTGACCATGGTGGATCTTTTGTTGGTAAACAATGTATGCTTCTTAAAGAACATTCAACTCTTGACTCATTACATACAGAATTGCACATTTACTTGTGGTTACTTTACAGACAGCTGCCAGGGGAATATGTCATCTTTCTGATGACTCTTGTTTAAATCTTAGTTTACACTCAATTTACAAACCAATTATTGTCAAAAGGGAGTAGATGCACTGTTGTAAAAAAGCTATTATGCATGATGTGAATTTTTTTTTATGTCAAACATTTGTCAATTATTTGGATATGTATGCGATAGGGGACATAACAGAAATAAGTACCTGGTATGTAGGTGAAAAGTTGTTTGTACACCAGGTATATCACTGCATGCTGACATGAGAGCAGCCAATCAGCGACGTCGAGTTCACCTGACCGTGGAGCTGCCGTGGAGTGCCGACAAGGCTGTTCAGCAGCTGGGACGCTCACATCGCTCCAATCAGTCCAGGTGAGTCGGTCACTGAAGCAGCCTTGTATGACGCTGTTGACTGCAGATATGATTCATTAATAGCCTATTAGTAATTGAAACAAGGTGAAAAATGACTGTCCCTGGTTAAATGAGAACACCTTGGTCACAGATCTCAGATAGATTGTTCAACTATACCTTTATCCTTTCTTATTTAGGTGTGATTTGTTATTTGATGCCCTAGCTGTAGTTCACAATACACACCATACCCACAGATTGTACTACATGTTTATCCGTTTATTTGGCTTTTTGAGACCCATGTTCAGCTCTCCTCATGGTCTGATATTTTCCGTAATTTTTGTTATCTTGCCAATTCGGTTGCCCTCTGTTGGCATGAGGCCCTGGGTTTATATCCCTTGCCTCTTCTTTTGTACTTTGGTAGTTTATTTTCTCAGTTATCACCCATTTTTGTGTTTTGTGTTTGGTCATAGACCCAAGTCAGGACTGCTGCTCACCATTTGTCCTGATTGCAAACTTGATTGTATGGCTGCAGTTGCTGTTCAGAGTGCCGCCATCTAACTCTTGACCTCCTCGTCAAGTACCTCTTTGTCTGCTCCAAACGTCGCAGTGAACAAAGAAGACACAGATTGATGTTGTCTTACCCATGGCGACACCACTCAATTTGGTGATTCTCAATGTTGCCGCTTCTCAAACCATGCTTTATCCTCTTCATCAGCGGCTGTCATCCCCAATCCCTACCCGTACAACACATGATCATCTGTCACGTCATACAGCAAGCCACAATCGTCTGACTCTCAAGACCATGGCTTCTCATCTTGACCAGGACTTTGAGGAATTGGGGCCCTAACCGCTTCATGAGCCAATGCAACATGAAAAGGCTCAACCTGAACATGGCACCGACTTCACCCCGAAGGCACCTGTTATTGACACAGATCACCGGAAGCTTACTGGTTCCTCTAAGCCACTCCTGTTTAGAGTCACAGATGCTCAGCTCTCCTCATCGAGCCCTAGCTCACTTCTCCGCTCTGGCCTTGTCCCAGTCAGCCATGGAGATGGACCTCAAATGAACCCAGGGAATCAGTCGTCGCAGTTACAGTCTGTGATTACCTGGCAGGCGAATCCACTTAATTCCCTCAAGACTCACTTTACCCATACTACGGCATCAGTCACTCTCATGAGACGCCAGGGTCTTCTTTCTGGCCGCATCATCAAAGAGACCTGGACTTCAAACAGTACCTGCAGTTCACTGATTTCCAGCCAGTCGAGCAGCTTGAGACAACTTTGCATACACTTGCGGCGATTGAGGGGAATACGCCACTCCACCCAGCTGAGAAGAACATAATCTTGAGTATGATCATCTCTTCCCTGCTCACAGAGCCATGCTCTTGGAGAAGCAAGCCATTGACACAGTGGACACATGTAACATCAAGCTTCTACTCCCCGATATTCCTCGTCCCCAAGAAAGGTTCGACCCAGCTACACATGATTCACAATAAATGTTATATTTCACATATATAATGTTATATATATATTTCTCGATATTGGAAAAAAGTAACTAATTTTCAGTAAAAACAGTATTCAGGCTTTCAGAATCAATGATTGGGTGACCCAAATGACATCAGAGTTCTTTTTAATGATAATGGAAATAACTTAAGTAAAATGTCCTATAGTCAGATACGTTTGACTGCATGTGATCATTGCAATCAAAATATATCACACAGCATTTATTAAATTGCATTTTCCACAGATATTAGCAAAAAAATAACAGACATGTATTGGCTATGAAATGTTCATTTTGCAAAAATAACTTGATAACAAACACTGGTACAAATATCGAACAAACTACACACCAATTCCCTGGCCTTAAAAAATTGGCCTACTGAGAACACAGCAATAATCTTCAACTGCAAAACCTGATGTATCTGATGTCAACCTAAATCAACATCAAAAGTGCCCGATCTTTGGCTTAAAAATGTCTTAAGTTTAAAAAATTATATGAAAGGTTTATATTTTCTCGATATGACATTAAGGACAACCTATAACATAACATATCTGATGCTCTTTTAGGCATTGTGTTTGAAATCTGGAAAATATGTAAAAAAAAATACAAAGGGAATATTCATTTGAATGCCTTCTCAATAACGGCGACTTCACGTGCATCTACGTTGTACTGGCGCCTTGTTTTGGCAATTGCGACCGGTTCATCAATAAAGCATAGCACATCATCAAATTCTATCCAAATTTCATCGTGACGAGATGGCCACTTGTACGTACAAGTCTTGCCTTTGTCATGTTTTTCCTCCATGAAAGTTATTTTGGTATCACCGTCATCTATGTATACTTCGAGAACCTTCCCGATGAAACAGTTACTATCATATATGGCAGCCAGAAATCTGCCAACAACTGGGACAGCAGGTACATGTGGTGCAGCAGGTACGTGTGGTGCAGCAGGCACAGCAGGTGCAGCAGGTACAGGGGATACAGAAGCCTGTGTGGGCTGCAGTATATGCGTTTCCTGGGATACGGTTTGGTCAACAGGGTGACGGCGCCAACCAGCACATAAGTCATTGCCGCTTAGACAACCTGTACAACAGCATTATACAGTTCTTGACAAAAAGAACCCCTTTCTGCTGCATGACTGCGTGCAACTTCATTGTACCATGTACAACCTTTGGGTTAGAAGTAGATATGTCCTGCGCAGCCTTCTCTACTTCAGTAGTAGAGTAGAATCTATATTGGATTGATTTTTTATTGTGTCTCGCCCAATCATAAAAATCGTGGGCATCTTGAATTGTTACTTTTCCTTGTTTTACTGCCTGGCGTTTACATGCCCCTTTTAGTCCATCACAGGGACCTTTCCCGTGGCCACACTCAAAATAGTTCCAACATTCCTTGCATCAGGGAAAGTGGTTTTCAGTTCAGGTAACATCTGTTGAGGATTGTGAGTACCGCAGTCGAGTTGTGCTGACTGACGTCAGACACATAGATAAAGTTTTTGTGTTCCAGTTTGTCCGACTTGTAGTATACTACTACAGAGTGCAGCGTAACATTTGTTGGGTTCCAGTTTGTCCGACTTGTGGTATACCACTACAGGGTGAAGCGTGACATTTGTTGGGTTCCAGTATGTCCGACTTGTGGTATACCACTACAGGGTGAAGCGTGACATTTGTTGGGTTCCAGTATGTCCGACTTGTGGTATACCACTACAGGGTGAAGCGTGACATTTGTTGGGTTCCAGTATGTCCGACTTGTGGTATACCACTACAGGGTGAAGCGTGACATTTGTTGGGTTCCAGTTTGTCCGACTTGTCACGCTTCACCCTGTAGTGGTATACTACAAGTCGGACAAACTGGAACCTAACAAATGTCACGCTTCACCCTGTAGTGGTATACTACATTTGTTGGGTTCCAGTTTGTCCGACTTGTGGTATACCACTACAGGGTGAAGCGTGACATTTGTTGGGTTCCAGTATGCACTTTGGATTTCATCCATACTGGAACATGTAAAGTTCTCAGCAAAGTCCATCTGTATGATGATATGGCCATCTGGGAGTGTATCCTTCAACTCATGGATAGCTGCATATTGCGACTTTACTCTTCCAACATGGTCATGGAAATCAGCATATTCAAGTAGCATATAATTCTTGAAGTCAGTGGCATTCTTTGTTATCTTCACCACCTTCATTTTCTTTTTTCCCTCCTTATCCACACGCTTCCACTCATCATATTCTAGGTCATCCTGAATGGTTTCCAGCATCTGATCCATCGTGTCCACAGATACACTGTCAAACGCCATATCCCGTGATTTCGGAACTTGTAATCCAACACTTTTCAGACATTTGAGTTTCATGGCCATATTCTGATGTTTGTTGCATAAGCAAGTCTTTCTTTAAATGTGTGATGTGAGCAAGATGTATCTGGGCCGTAGCCTACAAAAAGATGCAAATGACGGTTTCATATTCTGGTTTTCAATCTTGAACTTGGCATACACTTCAGACAGATAATCATTCATTATTCTTGTTTGATGATTGACACCATTTAGGCTCTTGGAATACATACGCTCATATCATCTCTCTCCATGAATTTGTCTCTTAATCTGCTCTGCTACGAGAGTGAGACAGGCTCTTCCACGAATCTCTATTACCTTAGAGGTGGTCCGAGATAAACTTTTTTGTGACAAGCCTGTAGCCTTGTTCAAACACGATACCCACCTGTACTTCTTAAGTACTTTCCCTTCTACAAGAGATGTCTTTACATTCACTTTGCTTTGCTTTTTGTTGGATGTGACACTTTCTTTCATTTCACCAACAGTGGCTGGCAGTTGACTGGGATCATTTCTGGTTGTTGTAGAAGGTGTTGCTTCATGCTGTTGTTGCAGACTGTCTGTTCCTGATCCGAGCTTTTTTCAGTATTGTTCCCGTCACGGTTTGTCTGTTTGGGTGTCCTATACTTTGCCTTCATCCTCTGATATCGTTTCTTCCATTTATGTTGCTTCTTTTTGTAGCTAGAAAGTTGTTCAGTCAACTCTTTTACTATTGTATTTGCTCTTTTCAGTGCACACGAGTGTTTTGGTTTTCTCTGTTTATTTGGAAAAGCCATTTTGACCAAGAAAGGACCTGGGCGTGACCTTGACTGCCGAGATGCATCAGTACTTCTTGATACCATGTTGACCTGGTCAATTTCTGCATTGACGACCACATCTGTGGCCTCAACTATGCTGGCACCTTGTTTTTGATTCTTTTTTTTATTTGGATCTCGGTATACCTTTCTCAAACTATCTTCTTTTTCTTTGTTTGCATTTGATCAATATAGTATTCTGTACAACTCAAGCACGTTCTTTGGCTAGATATTGACTGTCATTTCTTGCCTTTTGGTTTTCTGCATCCGTTTTTGCCATTTTCTAAAATCAAACCTTGAAAAAAACATGTTGAAACAGTCGTCAAAGTGAAAGAGCTGTTTGCACTAAAGAAATAGCCACCTTTTACTAATTTTCATACTTTGTTCTTTGTGAAATATGATAA